GTTTGCTTGTCCTTTGTTGTTTAATTCAGGGAGATCTTTTAAAAGATGATTTGTTTCCTCTGGCACCTCTGAAGCTGAAACAAGGCTAATTTCCTTGCGATTTCTGGGATTGCTGGTAGCACTGTTTAGCAGTTTCATGAAGTGCCTCATGCTGTAGTTGATTTTAGTTGCCATGTTTGTACTGTATATGAACTGGCCAGTCTCAGGAAAGAGCATGACAGTTGCTGTTAAAGGTGCCTGGTGGAGCCATAGGAGGATTTACCGTTATCTCTAGGCCCAAATGTTTATGAAATTGTCCTGAACAATGCCTGGTAAAGTTCCTGGGCTGCCAGTGAGCAGAAAAGTCTGCCCATCTGAAGTGGATTTGGTCGACCAAAAATCAGTTTTGTTCTGTGATTTGCAGACCATCCTCATGTCCCCCAGATTCCACTGTACAGAAGAGATCCTGACCATCATGTCGCTGTTATCAGTGGACAGTGTCCTCTACAATCCCCCTGCCCGGCGGGATGAAGTGCAATCCGTCAGGAAGAAATTCATCTCCAGTGAGGGGGATCATCTTACCCTGCTCAGCATGTACAGGGCCTTCAAAAATGTCAGTGGCAACAAGGTAGGATGCTCCAAGGATGCCAGTGCTCTCTGCGGGGCTCATGGTGGTGAGGAGCTTTTTTGGCATACAGCAGAGTGACATCTGCATCCTTCATGGTTGATGCAATATGCATACTTCCAAAGCAATGAGAAGAGAGGACTTACTCATCCTTTACAATTGAGTAATTGGAGAAAGCTGTTCAAATGCCGAAGGTTCCTCAGAAAGCTGTAGCAAAACTGGTTATCAAAGCTTCATGAGGCCAGTTCTGTAATCAGAGCGAGGTCTCTTCCTTCACTGGTTCCAGCTGGAAACAGGAGGGAATTGGGAGAGTGTTGAGACTTGCTGATAAATACCTAGACGTGCTCTTTGGCAAGATTCATTGCAGAAACACTGAGCATATTTACAAGCAGATTTTGATTTACCCTACCCTATAAACTCCTCAGTTTCATTTGTAGATCTGTAGACTAGTGTACCCCATTCATTGCAGCATCTGTCATTCTTAGGCGATTTGTTTTCACAACCTGTGGGACAGCAAGTGCTGTTTTGCAGCACTCGGTGGCCTTGCAGAGCAATTCTGAGTGGGAAGAGAACAACATGTTGTTTCTTAGCACTGTGGAAGTGAATGTAGACAGAGGGGAGTAATCAGGGGTAGAAATATGACAAGGAATTGGGTTAGCACCTTTTCTCTGAGAAGGATGGTGTGTTTGGAGGATTCTGCTTTTCATGGTATCTGAAGACTGTCATGCTTCTTGGGTGAAGAAACAGGCCCTTCTAACTCCCGGTGTCTCTGCTGCAGGAATGGTGCAGAGAGAACTTTGTCAACAGCAGGAACATGATGCTTGTGTCAGACGTCAGAGCTCAGCTCAGGGACATTTGTGTAAAGGTAACTTGTGCCATACTGTATTTCTCGTGTTTCACCTGTTTGTATTTTTGTTTGTCCCCAAACTGATTTTGCTGTGCTCCAAGTCCCAGGAGTGAAAGAGTGTGGTTTTGTTTTCAGTCTCCCATGAATAGTCAGGTAAAATTCTTAACTCTGCAGCTGCACCCCAAAATCTCAGAGCTGCAGGGCTCAGTGGGTTGAGGAGATGTGAAGAGGGAAGGGGAGCTCTGGGAAGGCTTCTCGGCTAGAGGATTGTTTTTCCTAAGGGGTTTTGCTGCTTTAGTGTAGATGGGAATGTGCTATGTGCATCACTGAGTGGTATCAGCCTCAGCAGCCCATGCTGGCTGGCTTCTTCACAGAGTCAGCCGTTCAATTTAACAGCAGTTTTCACATCAGCACTGTTCCTGCCAGTCACAGAGCATAAGGCACAGCATGGGAGCTGCTGCTGAATTGCTTGCAGTCTGTATGTGACATGGGAGCAGCCATTCAGCACCCCTGTCCTGCTGTGAATGCTAGTTGGCCTGAAACTCGCTCCCAGGAGAATCTCGATCCATTTTGCAGCTCATCTTTTGTTTGCTATTAGTCTGGATTAGCCTAACATCTACCTGAGCTGAATTCCTAGCGGTCCTTTTGTATTTCCCATGCTAGCAGGATTGCTGACACAATATTGCCTGATCTCAGAATCCCACTACCATGGGCCTGTGTTTCTCCACGAGGGTGCATATACACACTTGCTTACTCTTGTGTCTCATGCTGCTGAACAGCTATCGATACCGATTCAGTCCTCCCGCTCAGACACGGGAAACATCCGCCGCTGCCTGGCTCACAGCCTCTTCATGAACGCCGCGGAGCTGCAGCCGGATGGCACCTACAGAACTGTGGACTCTCACCAGTCAGTGGCCATCCACCCCTCCTCCGTGCTCTTCCACTGCAAGCCAGCCTGCGTGGTTTACAACGGGCTGCTTCACACCAACAAGTGCTATATGCGGGACCTGTGCGTGGTGGATGCAGACTGGCTGTATGATGCAGCACCTGACTATTTCCGCAAGAAGCTCCGAACAGCCAAGAACTGACCTGTGGGTCTGGGACCAACAGGTTCAGGGTTTTTAGGCTGACCCTAAAAGACTATTTTTTTGTTTTGTAATGAATGTACGGGAGCAGTAGAGCTTTGCCTTGCAAAATGGGTAAAAACCTTAGAGGAAAGTGTCTTCTCCATGAGAGCCAGGCCTCACAAGTGTCTTAGAGGCTTAGAACAGTTTAACAGTTAATCTGTAAAAAGGGGAACATAGTATGTACTCTGTGTGCGGGTGTATGTGTGTGTGATAAACCTATACTGGGGGGGAAAGGGGAGCTGGTATCAGATTCCAGTTTTTAATACTTACTGAAGTTTAACAGGCTTAGGTAGGAAATGAAATCCTAAGAGCTCTTCTAAGCAGATTTTATATTTTTGACGATTGTGCTTTTATCCTTAGCAGGTTTTATTGGGGAAATAGGAGAAAAAAGTTTTAAAAGTCTACATACAGGGAAAAAATGCCTTTTTTTACTATTTCTAGAAGGGAGGTGCTACTGTCTTTTACTTCATCAAACATCTTTCTGCCTGCATGTCGTGTTCACTGTCTTGGGACCTTACGAAGGCCAGTGGTGGGAATGCCTGCTTGGACAGGGTCTTCACTGCTTGTGTCTAAGCCTCAGGGGCTGGCAGTGGTTTCTTGGAGAGGTTGTCCAGCTGCCTGCATGCTTGGCATCATCTTTGTTCACCCTTTTGCTGTTAGGACATGTTGTTCCTCAGCAAATACTTCTGGCTTTTCTGACTCTTGTCTGTGCACTTCTAGCTTTGGAGTTGGCACACCAGCCACAACAGCTAATCAGGCCAATTTGAGGGAGACTTAGCAAAATGAGAGTGAAGATGTGGTTTAGAGATTGGACTTCCTTTAAAGATCCTTGATTCATCAAATGTTTGTGTCTTCTGCTCTGACACCAGTGCTTCTTCCCCATTCTGCCTCCACCAGCCCTGTGCCGGTTATACTTTGGTTTTCCATTAGAAGTTTGGAGCTTGACATTGTCAAGAACCACAGATCTACCATTAATATCTATTATTTGGGCTTTTTCTTCCATATTCCCTTGGCATCTACCCATCTCTCTGTTTCCCGTTGGAGAAAAGTGGCAATACCAAACTAATCGTCTTTTTAAGTACTGGAATTAAGAAACTAGTCCCACTCTAAAGGGAAAACTTGTTCTTTAATGTGCAGGAATTTAATGTGAAGCAAAGTGGATTTATTCCATTATCACTGTGTGTTGGTGGGGGGGGAAATGTTTTTAAATGATATCCTAAGTACTTCTGAAATAACCTCTCTGGGAGAGGTAATTTCCAGTTTCAACAGAGTCTGTTGACATAGTGTAATTTATACAGATTTTTGGACAAGTTGAACTAAAGCTGGTTAGGTGTCTGAAAGGGTGGGAGAGGAAGCTGTTCTGCACATGCAGTGTCATTGTGTAATATAATGGGGTTAGTTTACATGATGGGATTGTCCTTGTATCCTTTAAATAGCAACTTTTTTTAAAAAACAGCTTATAACATATTAATAGGGCTGCTCAGGGATGCAGTCATATTGACTATTGGCAAGCCCTTATTCACTCCATTTGCTTGGGGAAAGCTGCTGACTTTGCTTGTAATCTGTGGGGACAAGCTGCATTTGCCATATAATAATTTGTCCTTTCTGGTTACACGCAAAACGGTTACACAACACATTGTAATATGCCTTTTTTTTGGGCTCCAGTATTGGCTTACCTTGGTTTTCTCTTTGAAAACTGGGGCAAATACCTCCTTTGTTCTTTTTTCTGCTGTTAGCCGGAGCGTCACTTGTGCTGATCTGCAAATTGCCATCTCCCGAAGAGTGTAAGCAGGTACCTGGTGTACCTGGAATAGTCTCATCTCTCAGCCTGTTCTTAGGAAGGGTGATACTGAATGTCTGCCGGGGTGCAGTGGAAAGGCACACACATCCCTTTGTTGTGCCTCTTTGCAATATTGTTCTTTAGTGGTTTGAAGAAAAAAAAAAAGGGGGTGGGTGTGACTTGTTATTTTTGTATGTATGACCAGCTGCAGTTTTGGATTGATATTTCAAGAGTATGCAGCTATTTCAATTGTTCTTACTTATATGAATTGCAGGGAATTGTCAAAGCATTGTATCTGTTTCTTGGTTTTATAGACTTTGCATCTGTAGGGGAAAATGGAGCATAAGCACAGTTTGTTTGGGCAGTCTTAAACAGACTCTTAAATGAAGAGGGAGGGGATGGGTGTTCATTTCAAACTAATTTGTATATTTTTCCCAAAATAAAGAAGTGATGGCAAAAATCCAAGTCCAGGGTGTTGTTTTGTGAGACATGAAAGCAGTGTGGATGGAAGACGTGATCACAGGCCATTTGTATGGGACAAGTCCCAGCATTTTCAGTTTTTGCAGGAGTGTCTTCATTTTAAAGCAGTCTGGGGTGTCTGCGTGCAGCTGTTGAAGACGTTAAGGTGTGTTTGCATGCAGAATGGACCCTGTCGTTACGGGTGCAGTGCTCAAACACCAGTGTGGAGCTGGGAGTAAAAATCCCAGTCCTTTGATGCAATGGGGTGATGGCGATGCTCTCCTGCTGCAGCCTTGCGGTGAGCAGCACTGGGCCTTTTGTGCTGCTACTCAAGAGAGGACAATAGTGCCAGCTTTTAGACAAAGGGAACGCTTTGTGCCAGGAAACAGTTTGCCTTGGTCAGTCTTCCCTCTAAAATATTTATTGCTAAAGGAAGAAAAAAAAACCCCAAAATAATTTTTCCTTTTTTGTGAGTAAACTGGTGGGGTGTTGCCGGGAAGCTGACTATTCTAATAAAGAGTGGGGCGATGTACAGGTGTAAAGCTTTCACCATGTACGCTGCTTTTTCTGCTTGCAGGCACGAGGGAAGTGCTAGCATTTTTCCTGCATCCCTAAAGCTTCCTCTGCGCTTTCAGCGGTGCCCCAGCCTCACCTCACGGTGCTCAGTACGTGGCGTCCCTGCCCCCTCCTCCTGTCCTTGCTTTTTAATTTTAAGTTAAACCCGCAGCGAACGATCCGCCGGGGCCGGGGCTCGAACCTGCGTCCCATTCTCGCCGGGGCCGGGGCTCGAACCCGCGTCCCCTTCTCCCCGCCGCG